ATATATATATATATATATTCACTGTTGCAATGCAATGTGCTGTCAAGAAGAAACATTCTAATAAATCAATTTTGTGAGTAAATTTGCAGTCATCTGGTTCATGTCTGGAAATTATATACAGCTAGTTGGCATTTATAACTCAAGGTAACAAACAGCCTATTAACAATGGGTTGATGATTTTGTGACAGAAAGTCTGATTGCCTTAAACTCCTATTTTCTGACTCCAGGTATGTCTACACTTGCAGGTACTAACTGTTAAAACTACCAGTATCAGTAGTGTGCAGAGGAAAGAGAATTCAACTTGACAATGTAATTATCTGCAGTAGAACCTTGCCCCTTCACTTCAGCAATATTATCTATAGCTTAGCCCAGGGACCCTGCTTGGATTCAGCCACCTGATGATTAAGAAATAGATAAAATGTGGAAAAAATGAATAGTGAACTTTATGCAATTTGATTGAACTGACCAGTTTTTCCATCTTTTATTTTTTATGTGGGCAGGCAACCAAATCCAGCCAGCTGGCATCCAGATAAGGTCCCTGGGCTACGCCATAGGTAACAGAAGGGACACCACATGCTGGGACTATAATGCCACCTGTGGCTAGCCTACTCTAGAGGAAGGGAACTAATATGAAAGTGAATTTAAATTGTGGGACTTTCCTTCTTTTCCTTCAAACAAGTGCCAACTGCCCTTTGCCACTTTAATAAAATGGAAAAATAATTTTTTAAATAATCTATGGGCCCAAAGTTTGACTGTCCCCTAGTCTCACTGGCAATGCACGTTGAACCTTATCCTTTCTTACCTGTCTTCTGGAGCTTTCTAGCCCACTCAAGATTTCTATGAAATGAATTGAGAGTTCTGTTTGTTCTGGAGCTTTTTATACAATTTGGTATTTCTCTGAAATCAATTTAGAGTTCTTTCTTGAACTATTTGTTTGGTAGGGATTGTCAAGTGCCAATTTGTTTGGAATAAACACTAAGAGGAGTAGAGACCTATGGTGATTTGTTTGGGAGGGCTCTGTTATAAAATTGAACTACTTCTTATGCATTGGGGCGCTGAATTCAGCCAGCTGGGATCCAGGCAGGATCCCTGGGTTAAAGTGTCAATAACAGTAATATAATGACTTAGTGCATTTGGTTTCTGAGCTGCCTTCTCCCAATATGTAAATGTTGATCAGTTTTGAACTTGGTTTACATTACACAGGCTGTTTATTACTAGGCCTATATAATACTTTGTAACTACAGAAATGAGAATACAGCAATAATATGGAAAATATTAAAAACCCTGTCTCTGGCAAGTTTCACCAGCTTTGCCTTTTTGTTTTAAATCAGAGAAAACTTCAAACACTCAAGTTTGAAAGACTAGAATAATTAACCAAAATAATATACCAATCACCAGCTTAAGTAGTTTTCAATACTTGCTAAAATTTCATCTCTCTTCCCCAACACTTTTTCCTTACCTGAAGTATTTTAAAGCACGTTTGTGTTGGGAAATAAATACGTAATTCAGGGAGAAGCGTATTGAGTATTCAATAAATGTCAGCTATTATTTATGGTAGAACCTATGCGCATAGCCCCTTACCGGGAGGCTTTGAAACCTCTTTGCAGGGTGGCACTTTTTGGCTAAAGGCAGAGAATATTTAAGAAACAGCTTTCAGGAGCCCGAGGCTTGGTAGCTAAGATTGCTGCTGCCCCCTTCAGGACGCCCGTCTTCAGAGCCACTGGATTAGGATGAGGATTGTTCCTCGCAGGCTCCCGTCGCCTCGCGCGGAAACGAGGGGCGGGAACAGGAAGTAGGGTTAGGCCGAGTTCCGGGTGCAAGGCGGCTAGTGAGGACAGGAGTGCTGAACGCTGCAGCTGGAAGCTGGTGAGGCTGAGCGGCGATGTTCCGGATCGAGGGCCTTGCACCGAAGCTGGACCCGGAGGAGATGAAGCGGAAGATGCGTGAGGACGTGATCTCCTCCATACGGAACTTCCTTATCTACGTGGCCCTGTTGAGAGTCAGTAAGTGTCCTCCCGGGCTGTGACCATAAGACCACCTTGCCGACACCGCCCAGCCACCTCTAGTTCCCCAGGCCGTTGTGAGGCCTTGGGGAGCTAAGCCGAGCTGAGCCGTCACGGGAGCAAGAGGTGTGCGCGTCGAGGGCGACGACAGTCTAGAGTCTGCGGGTCTGACTGAGACACCGAAGCGCACGTGGTCGTGTCCCTGCGCGCGAGGTTAGCTCATCCTAGCTCGCCCAACCTCAACAGTGAGTGCAAAGAGCTTCAAAGCTTATCCTAGAGCAGTTCTCTCATTTTGGAGACCAAGAAACAGTGCCAAAGTTAGGGAAATGGCTGGCCAAGGTCATCCAGCTATTCAGTGAATGGGCTTGACCTAGAATCCGAAGCTCTTAACTCCGTGCCAGGTTTTCCTCCTGTAGTGCCGACCATTGAAATGCAAAAGGTTTTGCTTCCTTGCTGTTTATTTGTACAGAAGGTGAAATAAATAATTGCTTCTGGGGGAAGGAATGAGAGGAAAACGAGTTTATAGGATTGGTGGAAATAGAAAACTATTTGATCTCTACAGTTGGCAGAAAGTTACATCCATTAATTGGTCTTGACAGTGACTCTTTGAGGACAGTAGGGCCTAAGATTCTTTGTATCCTTTTTTGTAAGTGACTGGTGGATTTTAAAATGGAACATAAAGCATAGGGTTACAGTACACTGAATATAAGAACTGGAAGCAGCTTTATAGAGCAGTTCTCTAATTTTATTGTTGTTTCAGAAATGACTTGCCGCTGTCACTTCATTCTTAGTACAGTATCCTTTTCATTGTTATAAATTTGTATATTGTTGTCTGGTCTGAATGGAGAGGCAGGGAAAGTCAAATCACTGAAGGCCATACCAAGGTCATGCTGTAGAAGACTTTTGTTAGGCCTAGTCTGAACTCATTGAGGCTGAGGTCTCTCTCATTCAGATGTTTCTTTACTGGGTACTCTTTCCCTGTATTGCTCTGCTTCCCCAGGAGAGGGAGCTTTGGGGAATAGAAACACAAAATAATACTGCTCATTCAAGAAGTTTCATTCATTCATGTATATATATATATATTAGTTGTAGGTGGGCACAATACCTTTATTTTATTTATTTATTTTTATGTGGTGCTGAGGATCAAACCCAGTGCCTCACATGTACTAGGCAAGCACTCTACCACTGAACTACATACAACCCTAGTCCCCTTGAGAACTTTTTATAACTCCCAAATGTACTTATTTCCTCCTAACTTGTTGTTGTTGATCTAGCTGCTAGTAAAATATTTTCTTCTTAATGATTTTTGCCTTTAATTGTAATTACTTATTATCACATTTTAGGTTGAGACATAATTTTGTATATGACACAACCATATTTAAAGTGCACAATTCACTGGTTTTCAGCATAGACAGAAGTGTGCAGTCATCATCACAATCAATTTTAGAAACGTTGTCTTTTCTTCTAAAAAAAAAATACTATGTCCATAATCTGTAACCCCATTTCCCCCTTTCTCCAGTCCTTGGCGACCACTTATTTGCAGTTTCTGTATGGATTTGCCTTTTATGGATATTTCATATAGAGGAATTACATAATATGTGACCTTTTGTGTCTGTTATTTCACTTAGCACGTTTTCAAGGTTCATCCAACTTGCAGCTTGTGACAGAACCTTTTTTTATATTTGATTAAGGTCCCAATGTATGGATATACCGAGTTTTGTTTATCCACTCATCATTTCTTGTGGATTTTTCCCCCCATTAAGAATTAGTAGAGAAGGTTGGATGTATTACTGACTTTACCAACTTCCAACAGATCTCAATAGCTTAGTTTCATATTAATAAAATGTTTTAAGTGTGTATATTAAGAAAGAAGTTCATCTGTTTATTTTATTTTTATTTTTTTGTGACCACAGCACTTTTTACACTGGACAATAATATCACTTCTTTAAATTTATATGATCAGGCTGGGGATGTGGCTCAAGCGGTAGTGCGCTCGCCTGGCATGCGGGCGACCCGGGTTCGATCCTCAGCACCATATACAAAACAAAGATGTTGTGTCCGCCAATAACTAAAAATATATATATATTAAAAATTCGAAAAATAAATAAATAAAGAGAAATTTTGTTTGTTTTACTTTTCATCAGTCTGTTCTGGCATGCTTCTAATGATATCAGAATCGCTTGGATCAGTGATAGACAGTGTGCATACTCTGTAGTATTTTCTGCACGCTGTACCCAATTACATATTATTGCCAATGTAGTGATGGACACCAGTTTATTATTGCCAATGTAGTGATAGACACCAGTTTTGGCCAACATGGCATAGAACTCTGTTTCATATTTCTTCAAAGCTGGACAGTTGTTGGGGAGAATGACCAGTTTCACTTTGCCCTGTCTGATCATCTTCAGTGTCTGTTTGTACCCCAGCACATGCTTTCCACTTTTCATAACAAGCAGAGCCTAGAGTTGATTGACTCCAGAAACTTTTTGTCTTCTTTGCAGCTACCATTCTCCTGCCTTAAATGCAGGATGTCCCCTAGCTAAGAGCAGCCATCAAGTTGGCAGGATCAAATGAGTCTTTAGAGTTCCTTCTACAGTTAAAATAAATCACTAAAGTAAAGGATTGTCATTTGAAAGACGGCTGGAGTACATCTTTATGGCCCTAAGGGGGAGAACTACCTGGATGAAAAATTTTAAATAGAATAACAATGAACTTTATAGTAATTATAGTTGAATGGCACTGAAATGAGCTGCTTTGGAAGGTGGGAAATCTCTTGCTTATTTTTTACAAGCAGAGGCCTTACCATCATTTAGAGTTGTTTTCAAAAACATGTTCAATTAAACCTATAAGAATCTCCACCCCCAAGTCTTTTCTGACATGTAGCCTGGGGACTGATAGACCTGGAAACTAATTTTGGGTGTTTTGTTTTATTTAAGCTCCATTTATCTTAAAGAAATTGGACAGCATATGAAGATTGGACATCACGTGTACATGCATGATATGAAGAACCTGGTTACAGTTTCTCCTCCTATCTGCAAATGAATGGGCCCAGAATGGTGTAAGAGACTCTTTGATTGAATGGACATAAAAATTCTACTTATTAAGAACAAGTTGGGCTATGATTACTGACCTTCATAGCTAAAATATACAACAATTTGGAAAGTATGAAAAGACATCTTGTAATTATAGTGTGACCTTATGCTTGTGATACTTGGCCTCTGAATGTTGGTATGATTGTAAATAGTGTCAAACTCCCTTTCATTAATTATAAGGGGATTATGTCTGAAATGGCACTGTCTTGTCAGTCATTTCTGTTTACATTTTTACTTCTGTCCAGAATATATTTGTGAAGAGGCCCTTACAATTATGTCTTATGAAGTCAGCACCCAACCACAATGACATTTAATCACAGGACTATTAGTCTATATTTTTAATAAACATAGCAATTAAGAAAATTTGGGTTTTTATTTTTCTTATCCCACTTTCTGCTGATAAACAACAATCACTGGTGAGATTATTACAACATTGTAATAATTAAATTATTCTTTTTGTCTTGAATTTGATAATTTGCTAATTCTGATAAAGTAATGTTAAGTTCTACTGCCAAGCAGTCTTTGTGAAAGCAATAGTACTGCTTGATGCTGAGTGCATGTAGTACCACCAAAGGAGAAAAATGCCATATTCTTAAGTCAAATAGTCCTCCAGGTTTGTTGACATAAGGGGATAATCCTCCCCTGAGGCAACTACACTCATCCCTTTTTAGCTATTTGTGTTTCTAAATAGCATGATGGTATTGTTACTTCATTGTTTTTCTGTTATAGGAATTGCTCATTGACTACTGATGAATTTTTCCCCCCCTAGGCTTCATTTTTCTATGAACTTTCCTCTAAATTAATGAAACTTTTTGCCATTTGTCTAAATTGCACACATTGTTGGTTTCATTGGGCACCCAGTTTCATCTTCCTGAATAAATTTTTCCTGGAGCCTTCTGATCTGCCCCATTCTAGACTGATAACCTTCTGTGCCTGACAAATGGCTATAACCTGGGAACTCTGATCGCTTTTTGGTGGGAGGTACCCAGGGGTGTACTCAGAGGCACTCAACCACTGAGCCACATCGCCAGCCCTTTTTTGTATTTTACTTAGAGAAAGGGTCTCACTGAGTTGCTTAGTGCCTCACTGTTGCTGAGGCTGGCTTTGAACTCAAATTCTCCTGTCTTAGCCTCCTGAGCTGCTGGGATTACAGCTGTGCACCACTCATCACTGCACTCAGCTCCTTTCACCTTTATTGTGAGAATTCCTTTTCCTCTTGTCTGATGTTGGATCTCTTGCTTTCTGTTATCTTTTCTTCATTTATGCCTTTATTTTGATAGAGCCCTTTCTCAATTTGGGGAAAGGTGGCTTTAAGACCTTGTTGGTCTGAAAAGACTTTATTTTATTCACATATTTGATAATTTGCTGAATATAGAGTTCTAGATTGGAAAGCTGTTTCCTTCAGAAAAAGGCATTGAACCATTGCCTCTAAGTTTCAGTGTTGCTACAGGGAAATCTGAAACTATTCTGATGCCTGACCTTTTTGGGAGACCTAAATTTTTCCTCCCTTAGAAACAAGAATCTTTTGTTCATAGTATCTTATGTTCCATGTTGACACACTTTGGTGTGTTTTTATTTTAATTTACTGTGCTGGTCACTTGTTAAACCAGTTTAAACTTGAAACTTATGTCCTTTAGTTCTCAGAAATTTTGTCAATTTTATTGATGATTTCTTCCCCTTTTATTTTCCCTCTTTCTCTATTTGTAGGATGATGCTATATTTGATGTTTTCTTTTTCCTCTATAGTCAGCCAGTTTTATCTAAAATTGCTTTTGTTGATTTTTGCTTGACATTAGTTGTATGCTCATATTTAAAAATAGGATACTAACAAATTGATTAGAGACTCTCAATAGATGGAGTTTGTTGATGCTGGGCTCTGCTGAAGGGCAATCTATTGGGTCATTTAATTGGAAAAACTTTTATGTTCCTCTCTTTAGGTATTTCCTATTGAACTGGTCATTCCTCAGCAAAGACTCTCCCAAGCTCCTAAGTGAAAAATGAATGACTTGCCAGTATCCTGGCAGCCAAGTGAGGGAGAGGGCTGAGGTGAAGCCCAGAATATTTTGTGTGTCTCACTATTCTCTGTGTGTTCGCTTATTGAGGCTCTGCATTTTAAATACAGTATATCAGCCCAAAGTGCCCAGCTTTCTACAACCCAAACTGTTTTACTCATTTCCAAAAGATAAACTTTTTTTTCCCTGACACAACTGGGGATTGAATTTACCCCTAAACTACACCTACACTAAACTACATGGCTCTTGTTATTTTTTATTTTGATACAGGATCTTGCTAAGTTACTGAGGCTAGCCTTGAACTTGGAATCCTCCTGGCTCAGCCTCCATTGTGCCCAGGTAGAAAAGAAACTTCTAATTTGGAGAGTGAGCTGGGAAAAGGAGGCTGTTCAGCTGTGTACAAAGTTGCAGAGAGTATCTGATTCTTAGACTTTTAATCAATTCTTGTTTTGGTCTCTACCTGTTCACATTATACTTCCAGAGACACATGAAGCCACCAGTTTCTGAGCCTTTAAGAAATTCTGTGATTCAAATTCAGTAGCTTTTCCTACTGTTTGCTTAGAATTCAGTTTCCTTGGGTCTACTCTGTTATTTACTACTTGTAATTTGTTCTCCAGCTTTTAACTTTTTGATATTATCTTTTCTTCTATCTTTTCTGTTACACCTTAAAACAGACAAAAAACTATTGTCATTTAATGGAATTTCAGGAAGGAGAAGTATGTACATGTGCTGAATCCCATCTTTACCCAGACAGCATGTAATTTTTGAACCCTGTTGTTTTGTTTCATGGTAATCATTAATATCTATTTCTGACTTAATTGAGAAGGTACAGTATATAGTATCACGCTCTTGAATACTGGCTTGAAAAACAGGCTGACTTGATTTTGAGTCCTGACTCTGATACTTATGATATGATTGGCTTTCAGCAAGTGAACCTCTAAATTTCATTTTATTTAACTGTAAAATTAGGATAATAGAAACATCTGCCTGCTTCAAAGTATTGTAAAAATTAAATGGGAAAATGCAAGTAGGGCAGTTGGCACAATTGTTGACATTTGGTAAATATTATTAATTGTTAGTGTTTGGAGTAATGTGTTTAGAAGCGATTTGTGCTGACATTCACTGCTTAAACAAGTTCATTCATGTTTCCAGTTGCTAGGAGATAGCATGCTGATCCTCTAATTGTATACAGACTTCAAAATTATTATTCATTGTCTGAAATCAGCTCTAACCAATCATTGATGACATTCAACAGATGGAGAGGTTGAGATTCTGAAAGTTTCAGTATGGCTAATAAATAGCAGCTGGTCAAGGCTTAGGGGACTTTTAATATTTGCTTATGGTATCCTATCCTTAGATGCTTTTGCGGAGAGGGGGGGAAGTGTGATTGTTACTTCGGATTCCAATGTTATGTGATATGAAAAAAATCTAATGATTTCGTTTTTTGACTAGTTTCTCAAAATTCAGGCCATACCCTCTGAGAGATCTCAATACTTGAAATAGTTGGACTATATACATATATAGCTTAGTGGTTTTTTTGTTTGTTTGTTTAATCTGTGTAGTGTAAAATAGTAAGTAAAAAGCCATAGCAAATTGGATGCTCTTGAAATGGGAACATTGGAAGAAAAGAGATGGTAGAGAGGAATGTTAATCCCCCACAATCAGGTTGTGGTAGAGTAATACCACTTTAATAGGTAGAAATGTGGCCACTAAGTTAAGTTAATGTCCCCAACTGCTGGCAGTAGCACAGTTTTTAAAAACTGCCTTTAGGTAAAGTGCTTGTTTAGCATAGGTGAGGCACTGGGTTCGATTCACATATAAATAAATAAAATAAAGGTTCATAGAGACCCCAAAAAATGAATAAAAACTGCCTTTTTCATTACTCTTTGAAATAAATTAGCATTACAGTTAATGTGTTCAGTAGTTTGGGAGTCTGTAAATTTGAACCTTCCTTTGGCACAAAGGAAGAATACGGGAATCTGAACATTTTTCTCTTCCCACTCCCTTTTTTTTTTTTTTTTTTTTTTTTTTTTAAGTAAAGCGTGTCTCTACCTGTAAGATCCAGGCACCGTTCAGTATTATAGATAGTATAGAAAGGAAATCAGCTGGACATTTTACTCTGTCACTCTAATATGATCACTTCATAAATTGAGTCATCAAAGAACCCATAAAGGCAGATATGAGCAAACTCTCTGTTAAGGGTCAAATGGTAGGCTTTTTAGCCTAAACTCTTGTTTTAAGCAATTGTGAAAACAGCCAAAGACAATATGTAAATGAGTGGGTGTGGCAGTGTCTCAATATATTTACCGAAATAGATGGCTGGCTGGATTTGGCCTATGGACTACCTTGTTAAAAGACAGAGAAGTTAGCAAAGTATAAAATGGTGACCAAATCATAGAAGTGTTTTATTACTTGAAAGGTGAGATATTTACTCTATTGCAGATCATATAGGGAAATGATTTATTATAGTCTGGGCTTTACAGAGCCCTATAGGTTACTCATTTATTCATCAAAGTTATCAATTCCTATTATGTACAAGGCACCTTGCTAAAAGTTGGGGATATGGACAGTCACGGGACTGCCCTTTGAGGTCTCTCATCTACCAAAGGATGCTATGTGAGTTGACATCTGAAAGATCTAACCTTGCTGGAGAGAGCTTCTCTGAAGGAGTGATTTTAGGGACCTGAAGGGTCAGTTGGTCATCTGGGGGAAAAGGTAGAGAAGGTAGGACCAAGCCGGGTTTTTCAAGGTGGGGAGTTCAGAGTTGCCCACTTTAAACAGCATTAGACACAGTATATGAAGACTGGATTTGAAGGGGAAAATTAAGGGGGTAAATGAGTGGACCAATATTGAATCAGTGAAGTGAAGAAGGAAAAGTATCAAGAAAGACTCTCTGATTTCTGGCTTAAATAGCTGAGTTGATGGTACCAATTACTGAACTAAGAATAGGGTTTCAGGGGGAGACAATGTGTTCAATTTTGGACCTGAATTGCAAGTTTTCATGAGATGGAGATAATTGAGTGGACATTCGGATATCCAAATATTTCTAACACTTGGATTTGAAATAAATAAATATTGAGCTTCTTTTAGCTAGATACTAATTAAAACCATGGTATGGCTGAGAGAAAGTGTGTGTGTGTGTGTGTGATAATTCAGGGTTGGAAATATTTCAAGAATGAGCACATAGGCCGCAGATAAAAGGTTGCAAAATAGAACAGGTGAGGAATTTATGTAGGTATGAAGAGAATGGGTCTACAAAACAGGAAAAGGAAGAAGGAGTGCGTCAGTGTTTTAGTTTCCTATTGCTGCTCCCCTTTAGGGAATGAGTAGAACAAGTTTTAGACAAGAGAGT